GGATGCCATTGGCCTTCTTGGCCCCCTGGGCACACTGCTGGCTCATGTTCAGCCTCCTGTCGATCAGCACCCCCAGGTCCCTTTCTGCCTGGCTGCTCTCCAGCCACTCTGTGCCCAGCCTGTAGCGCTGCAGGGGGTTGTTGTGGCCAAAGTGCAGGACCCGGCACTTGGCCTTGTTGAACTTCATCCTGTTAGAATCAGCCCAACTCTCCAGCCTATCCAGATCCCTCTGCAGAGCCCTCCTGCCTTCCGGCAAGTTGACACTCCCTCCCAACTTGGTGTTGTCTGCAAATTTGCTGATGATGGACTCAATCCCCTCATCTAAATCATTGATAAATATTTTAAACAGGACTGGGCCCAGATCATGAGATCAATTAGTTATCACTAAGTTTATCCATTCTGTCCCACGAAATATTGTGTTATTTTTCAGAAATAGCAATTTCCAGATGAAATTGGACTTCTGCAAATATTTTTTGACCTCAAAACCTGGAACATATAAGGCAATGTGGATGTAAAATAGTGTGGTTTTGTCGAACAACTCTTACAGAAACAGAAAGCTGAATATTACATAATTATACAATGCGTTCAAGAGACTTGGGATTAATTTCTGATGTGTTCTTCACCGTATCCCTCCTTCTAAAAATTCTATCAATATGGAGATTCTTCAAGACACCAGATTCCACATCTGAACCTATTTCTGTTTTTTTTTTTCTTACCAAACGTTTTCCTTTGAGACAGTCTTTGAAGGGAGGAAGCACACTTGCAGTTCATATATTGTTTTGGTAGATGATTCAGAAAAAAGGGGTGGTGTTACATGAAAGAACTGAAAAATTAGCAGGGTTGAAAGACCTAGACAATCCTGAAGACCTAGACATTTTTAGAAAGATTTAATAAGTTTTTTTCTCACTTTAACAGAAAGTGGGATAGCGAGCTCCCTTGGGCAAAGTAAAATAGAAACTTGTTTCTGTGTGTTCCCACTAGATCTGAAAAAATGGTTGGCAGTTGTATTTACATGTATGTTTAGGGGGTCAGAATTACATTTGTACTACCTTTTACCAGCTTTTTTGCCTTCCTCCACACAGATTCAAGTACCTTCACGTCCTTCTAAAGTGGGGCCCAGAAGTGCACATGACGCTTAGAGTGAGGTTACACCAACGCTGATTACAGTGGGATAATCACCTCCTTTAACTGGTTGGTGATGCTGAGTTTGATGTACCCCACGATGTGATTTGCCCTGTGGACACTGATCACTCACACTGAGGCTGCTGCTGACCAGCACTCCCACACCACTCTCTGCAGGGCTTCTTTCTAGCTGCCTCTCTCCCAATTTATAGTTGTGTTTAGAATTATTCCATCCCAGCTGCAGAGACAGGATAGTTTTTTTCCTTTCTCTTACTAGATGGGTGACCTTATTGTAAAGGGATATCAAATAAGTTAAACAGGACCTTCCCTTTGTGAACACATATTGCCTGTGCCTTTAAATGTCTTTCAGTTGCACCCAATAGGATCTTCATAGCACCCAG